CACAAACACTTACATGCACACAGACACACATAACAGATGGGACCCTGGGGGTTGTCTTCCAGGCAGAAGGATCGGAGGGACCCCCTGGAGACAAACCAGAGAGGAATGACAGAGATAACACAGAGGAGGACCAGGAATTCTTTCATGCATAAACATAAACAGCATACCTACAGGTTTATACTTCTAAATAATTATTAAAGCTACCAAGACTTTAATTTAGACTAAGTTAAAAAGCAAAATAAAGAAACCGAGCTGGCACTGGGGTAACTGATGATATTTACTAGATGAAAATATAAATGAGGAGAGCAACAAAAACCTCTTGACAGACTATTAGCAGGTATAAACAATCTGACAGGTTGAATATGATTTATAATATGTATCAAAAACACGCTTAATTAAATAAACACAGAAAAGCTTCAGATTGTGATAGTTTAAGTATTTTAAATTTGCTCTAATATTTGTTCCACAAACTATTCTGCAGTTCGTCTTAGCTATAGAGAGCGTTTTAGTGTCTTTCAGCTTTTTTTTTTTGGTGCACAACAGCACACAACTGTGCTGTTTTGGTTCATTCTCACCACTCTCATTAATTTGTAGCCACAGCTGCTCAGCACTCAACAGCAGACAAAGTTAGCAAGCTGGTGAGCACGGAGGAGCATTTAGCAGCTAAAGAGCCAGATCCTTCCTTCAGGAGTTGGTGAAAAAACAGAACTTAAAGGAGAGTGGCTATTGTACTTAGACATTGGACCTTTGTTGTTGTATGGCCAGAAACAAAACGCCAAATTAATGCTAATGTTTGACTGTGCTATCACATTCAACATAAAAACTTTATAAGGTGACAAAATGTCAATGTTGTGTTAACATCTTGTTGCTCTGTCCTCAAGTGCCCCCAAGAAATCAACTAGCACACACCACATACACTCAATAGATAACAAAATGGCAATAAATACTGAACAGTTTTACATTGTGAAAATGAACTTGCACTACCAGACTCTGCACAGGAAAGTAATTGATCTGACTGGGGGCTAGAAGTGCTGTAACTGAGAATGGAAATTTGTACACTTACATCACGAAAAGGACATGATAAAGCACTCTTTTTCACAAATACTGGTTGGTTTACTGTGAATTGTTTAATCTTCAACCAAGTCCAGTTGCCCTTGACTTTAACCTGCTTTGGATACAAAGAAAATGTATTTCTACCTCAGTAATCATGTTGTTTGATTTTCTTTATAAGCTACCCACAATTTGACTTTATATCTTATATCTTTTTATATCATTTAAGTTTATTTTGTTACTGAATCCTCACACTAATTATGGCCTAAAACGCAGATCATCTCTGATTCGAAAAACTATTACTTGTCAGCCCAGCGTGGATGACATAACACAGAACTGACTGACTGGCTTGCTGTTGCGAACATTTGTAATAACTAGCAAGTCCTCATAAATACCAATGTATATAATTGTGTTTTCGTTACGTAAAATGTAAACTTTATGCTTAAAATCATACCATCCAGCTAAATGCTTTGAAATTGTGTTTTGTAATTTTGTTGTAGCCTAATTTTAAACTCCTACTCTGCCTCTCTCTTCCTTTCAGCTGAGTTTTTCTTTTTCTCCAACTCTCCTTCTCTCACACTCATGCCCTCCCTCTTTCTTTTGTTCCCCTTTATTTCCCTTTGTCCCCCCACTTCTGACCCAACTAAAAAGCTGTGCACGGTGCCTCACAATGAAGTGCATTTCTTTCACATGTTAATGCTTTTACTCACGGCTCAGTGCACAGCACAAGGCAAGAAACAGAGCTGGTCAGAAAAACAGGATTGTGTACACACACATGCACACGCGCACACACACACACACACACACGCTGCGGGAATGGCTATAGTTACAATGAATCTAAATGAACTGCCACTGAGCTGCCTTCAGTTGTGATGATGCACTTCAACAGCCACCAGAGAGGAAAAATGATAAGTATGGAGTATAGAATGAGGAAAGAAAGAACCAGAGAAAGAAAGAAAGAAATATCATGAGACGCAAAGAAAGATTACAAATGGAAGTGAAGAAGACAAGGAGGGAAAAAAGGGCATGCCCACTTCGTTGTTATTGCAGACAGGAGTTCATGATTCATGACCATTTCAGTGTATCACATAAAAAACCTATTACACTTTGTCAAACAGGGTGTATGTGTCTGAGAATTGATTGTAAAGATTTGAGAGAGGGAAAGAAAACAATCTGCAAGATGGAAATACATGTGCATCTATTGATATTCATGCTGCTTTGAGAAGGAACAAGTCTAAAAACAAAAATCACGGCTGTACTGGCTACGTGTGTGTGGATTTAGGTTGTATCATTGCATTAATAAATAAGTGCATTAAAGCATGGCTCATGAACAGGTTTCATATTAAACACTTTGGGGAAAGTTTAGTTAATTGGATATTCAAACCCATGAAAAGCAGTTATTAAGTTAATTTAGTTCCAATTGTTGAACTAAAACAAATATTGTTTTAGTTCAACCATGTTTTTTTTATAAATGTAGGTGTGACGTGTAAAGATTAATTAAGTACAATTTTATATTTTCATACACTTTCTGTTAAATAAAAAATAATAATAATTTGGTAACACTTTCTATGAAGGTCATCGCTATAATGACTTATGCATATATTTATAACACGATATAATGCGTCCATAAGACATTATAACAGTTGTTATAATCACTTATAAGCATGCATTAGGCGCTATAGCAAAGTTCATAATGCAAACAAAGACATTCTATATAACTTTAAACATTACTATGAGCTATTATTCCATTTTATATCACTAATTCTAAATGGTGACTAAAGTGTATTCATAACGAGGCAGAGTCGTGGTTATAATGTGTTATGGAACATGTTCGGAGATTCTTGCCACATATTGATATAAACTGGTATTACTATTAGTTATAAAACATTAAATCAAAAGGTCATAATACGTTGTGAACTTTGCTATAGCGCCTAATGCATGTTTGTAAGTGATTATAACAACTGTTATAATGTCTTATGGACGCATTATATTGTGTTATAAATATATGCATAAGTCATTATAGCGATGACCTTCATAGAAAGTGTTACCAAAATTTTTAATACAGTATTCATCATCGAGCAAATGCTGGCTCTGCAGACATCATTTTCTTTTTTCATTATGGCTCTTGAACGCAGAGTCACGTTTTTGAGTGACAGAGTGGCATTAACTGTGTGTGTGTGCAGCGCTAAGCTTCTCTTTTAAGCAGCCGAGAGGTAAGGCTTCAAAGAACACTGGATCTAGCACACCAGAGAACAGCACTGCCAACTGTCTTCCCAGAAAAACTTCTAAAAATTACGTTTACCCTATTAAGTATTTCTTTATCTGAAGATCTGTACTTTGCTCAAGTTTAAGTCGCATCTGTTACAGAGTAAAAACAACATGTCCAGAGAGGTGAAAGTCCTCACTCAGCTGACACTCAGGAAACCTACATGTTCTAAATATGTACGTTCACTGTACGCATGTCAGGGGGGGTGAGAGGTGCAGACGCAACCGGGCGCGGGCAGTTTGTGAACAGTACAACAATGCAGTATAAATAAAGACTTATGTCATTATGGTTACCATTAATTTACCTTGGCAAAGATTGCAACAGTTGCATCTACCTTAATTAATCACTGATATAATGCACCATCTGGCGAGTGCGCTATGTGACACAAATCGAACACACCCACAATGCTGCATGACCAACAGGTACAGCGGTGACTTCTGAGATCATGGAAGAACTTTTACCTTCAGTGAGGTGTGTGAGCTGGTGCTGCTGTTTTAGCCAATAATCCAGTCACAGTTATAACGTTAACTCAGAGTACATTTTAACCGACTTCCTTTTTACTTTTATCCAACTACATTTTTACACATGTAACGGTACTTTTATGAGAAAAAATATTCAATTAGTCTTTCCATCCCTGCTGGATTCTCAAAATGTCCCTGTAAGCCATCAATACTTATTTCTGAGAAACACTCATGGATGAAAAATAGTAAAAGTGTAATGTTTATCATTACTAAGATCAATAAATCAGCCCATGTTTGCATGCGCACTTTTATCTGATATGGGTCTAGTGCACCTGTTCCAGGTACAAGTTAACAAGTCATCTTCTCAACAACAACTTCTCAATAAGCCGCTGCTCTAATTTGCAATTAGAGGAAGTTCAAGCTAGAACACAATGATATGAGCTTCAAATGACACGTGTCAGTTATCACCAGCAATCCATTTGATGGGCAGGTTAATAGCTCTGCATTTATCCCACTGATGACCTGCTGAGCCTGATCATTCCTTCTGATTCACCCTGACCACTAAGAAGCTAATCTCTCCCTCTGGGACCATTACTGTCTGTCTGTGTCCACTCTTTGTTTCTGGTGGACCACAGCTTAGCGCAGCGGGGGCTTTGTGCTGAGTTAGCTGATGTCATCTAACCATATGGTCCGAGGCAGATCAAGGTTGTCTCACGGGGGAGATGTTAACAGATAATTCCTTCGATTTATGTGATATTCAGACTGTACAGACTGACATTTACCAGTCTAATGGAACTGTCCCTTGTACTGTTAGTATACAGTACCTTATGGCTCTTGTTTTATTCTTATTATTCTTATTATTATATTGTGATTGGCTGAGTTATCCTGTTGGTCACTTAATATCTGTAAGATGCCCTGTGTGACAACAACAGCAACTCCAATACCACTTACCTGTACATCGTACCTTTTGTAGTAGTAAGTATCGATCGCTATATTTCATTCTGGATTTATTCTCTTACCTGCTATAATGGCCTGTTGCCACCTTTTAACTAAATCTCTGCTCATGCACGCCCATAAAATCCACTTCTTGTCAAAAAAAGCCTCCTCTGAAATGACTGAAAATCTCTTGTCATGTGGCAAACTGCTCATGTCAACACACACACACAACAGTAGAATATCTTTAACCAATACCAGAGGAAATAAGAAAAACAACAAATACAGACCTGAGTATGACCACTCAATATCTTCAGGGAGTTTCCTCAGGCCTCTGACCAGCGGCTCTGTTGCTACAACTACAGTAGAGAGAATAAGAAAAAGGTTATTAGTTTAATTTTGCATTATTAAAAACACACACAAACGCACAGACTGACAGATGAAACAATGGCCAGCTGCTGTGTGACTTTGCCACATGATTAGTGACAGGGTTTTCCCATCATTCAAAGGATACTATCTAGCCTGCCTGGAAATAAACTGACTTCATTCAGTCAGAGAGGAAAAGTAAAATGTCGCTATCATATGGTGATGTCACTTGCTCTGTGTTGAACATATTCCAGCAGAGTGGAGTGAGAGGAGTTTTCTGTGTATTACAGCCAATGTTGAGACGGCCTGGGACACCCATCTTATTCTGAGTTCTCACTTTCATTTGACAGTTTTGGGCAAACACTAACCTTTGGTCTCACTAATACACACACACACACACACACACACACAGAGGGTATCAACACCATTGGTCATCACCATATAGGAGACGACTTTAAAGGGTGCAGGAGGGAAGTGCATCACCATTAAGATTTTTCTCAACAGAACACACACACACGTATGAAGTCACAGTTGGACAATTCAGCCCAATTGATTCTCTGTCCCTCTCTAGTTGATTCTCTTGCTCCAACACACACAAGGACTTTGAATAACACACACACACACACACACACACACACACACACACACCTCTCTCTTCCTCATGCTATTTCTACTTAAGTCTCTCTTTCTGTTTTCACTTTCTTTGTGCTCTCTCTGTCTTTCTTCCACTCTTTCTCGTCCCACTGACAGAAATGAGTCAGTGATCTTTGTGATAGTCAATAAATTAACTGACAACAGATCATTCATTGTATCCGTATAATAAAACATACACATGTTGCTTTTTCATAGTTGGCATGGACACCGAGTATATTTTGTAATCATTTCGTTTGTAACAGAATTGAGCACTCGTGTCAGATGGATAATGTCAGCAACATTAACAGGTGTTACTTGCTGGTGGGTAAGTTGTTGATCCTAAACCCCCAACATTAATGCACTAAACCTGCCAAGATTGCATTCCCATTAAGGTGACGTACACTAAAATATGTGCTTCATATTTCGAACATAAAAATGATGCTTAGACCAGAAATGTGGCCTATATGCATGACACTGTAAAGCACTTAAACAAGACCAGTTGGCATAGGTCCTGTGATCAGTGGTGTCAAAACTTGTACAGACAGGCTACAGAGCAGGGGCCACATGCTAATACAGATTACAATATTAAACTCATAGTAAAGGGGGCTGGTACATGATGCAACATAAATAAAAATAAATAAAAGTAAAAGGAATAAAACAATACATCCTCTCTTTTTTAATCTTTCACTGCACACAGAAAAAACAAAAACCTATCCTCCAAGAAGAAAGCATTGTGTGATGTAGATTAAGGTCATGGACAACAACCACACCCACTACATTAGGTCGGTTCTTGTGGCATAGTATAGACGCAGTATAATAAAACACTGGGTAAACGGCACATGTGTGACAGTTTTATCTGTGTTGTTGAACTTGTGAAGACATGCAATGCAGTGCATCCACTCTGAAAACAAAACCCTTCTGTATCGTGTGTAAAATCTTCTACATCAATGAATATTCAACAAACCCTGACACAGATGCAGCCACAGGGGGGTTTAATGTTGTACTTCACACTTGTTTAACTCACTTTTGCATCTTCCCCATTTTTCCCAAAAGAGACTGATGCTAAAAGTAAAAAAAAAATTCATCTTGTCTTTCTTTTCTGCTTTTGGAGGTTACAAGAAGCTATGCTGACTAGCTGGATGAAGAGCTAAAAACAGACTACCTGTGGATTAAAAAAGTTGTTAAAAGTCTGAGCAGTGACTCATTTCTCAAGCTTTAAAATATGATGTAATCACAGCTTTCTTGGTGAGGCTTCTTCACCTACTGATGAAGTTCATTTTTGAACGTGAGAATAAGTCCTTTAAAGAAAATCCATTTGGAAATACAAATCATTTCCATTACATACACATATTCCAACATGTATGTAATGGAAATGAGAAACGATAGGACTGAGTCTAGAGCACACTATGAGAGACTTTATTGTGCCATACTGTACTGACAGGAACGACAAATACTAGACCAATACATAAGTGAAGACGATTATGGCCAGACCAGACTGACCTGACCACATGCAGCTTGCTATTGTGTAATATGTGGAGGGTGAAAAGAGAAAAGGATTTAAAAAAGAAGAATAGGATGGAAAAAGAGAAAAAAGAGAGAAGGAACTTTTTACAAAAAAAGTAAAAACAGGAACAGGAAGACAAGCAAATGTCTAAATGTCTGTTAAATTGATAGTACTTCTAACCCCAATACATTTAGCAGTTCATTTATAGCCTTGTTTCCCAGCGTGATGTGCGTGAGTCTACACTGTCATTCAGACAGCAGTCTATAAATTCAGTGTATTTGATGATTACATTCATGTTAATACAAAGGGGGGAAAGACTGATGAGAGAAATGAATGAAAGCAAGCAAAAGGGTAGAATGGAGTCAACTGCGGGGTTGTAGCATCGATAATGTCCTAGTTAACATCACGCTGTGATAGATTTAAATGTAATTTGCCCATGACAAACCACCGCAACACACACACAACATACACTCTAAGGATCACCTGCTGTTTCAGTGTGATTTTTGGGAACAGAATTTCCATTTGGAATAAAAATAGCACCGTTCAAACGTTTTAGGCGTGGAAAAACGCAGTAAAGTAGGAAAGCTTAAAAAATACACAAGTTAACAGCATTATATTTTTCAATTTAAAAAAAGTCAGTGAACAAAATAAAAATCTACATCTAATCAATTTTTGGTGTGACCACCCTTTGCCCACAAAACAGTTAATAACTATTATTACTATGTAGCTTTTCAACATTGTTACATGTTTTTTTAGAAATGAAAAAAGGGCAGCTGCTAATGTTTGAGGGACATTTTGGGATGTAGGCAACTTTCACATTTCTAAAGCAGTGGTGCTAAAGAGGCGGTTGCTGTCAGTCAGTGGAGGCAGCAAAGGAATGAGGTGATGAGACAGTATTGCACAGGTGAAGAGCCAGGAGCAAAGAGACTCCGAGCTGAGCTTTAAGAGCACAGCAGATAGTGATGGGACTTTGTCGCTGCAGGCTGGCCATGCATGAAGCTCACAGCTGAATCACTGTTATTATTCCACCCATCTGCACTCCATCTGCTTCAAAGATCAGGTGACTGCAGTGGCAACAAGAAATTTCTATGGATGGTGTTTGATTCACATAGGAAAGGTCAACAGACATGTAGTTTTCGAACAATGCTCTGGTTCATCGTCACACATTTATATGCCTATCGTCAATGCCTGAATCAAGTGCAGCTCATGAGAAAGCTTATGAAATATTAGAAATACGTAACAAATCGATGCTTCACCACAATCTGAACTATGCCCTGTTTATTAGCATGACTGACTTCACAGCTGTCAGTGTGAGACAGAATAATGAAGCCAAAGGAAAGGCCAAATGAGGATGTGTGTCAGCCAGACACTTGATAGTCTCACTGGAAGCTTCTTTCATACTAAAGTGTCCGCACTGAGGATAATTTACTACAAGGGCACCACTCGTACATACATACATGTAATATGGACAAAACATGTTGAGGCAATGCAGAAGGGAAGATCATTAGCTCTCGCTTATCAATCAGGTGGATATTAAAATTATGGCACAGGACTTATCTTATAACCATGTTCATTAAATTATGTTGTGGTAGTTCAAGTCACTGACTGACAAATGGCGAACAAAGACATATTTTCAATGATACTAAAATATCATTGCTGATGTTTCTGAGCTGGTAATCTGATTACTTCATGTTATGTTATTTTATTTTCCCAAATCTAATGAGCAGAATTTTGGAAAATTATTTATTTACATTTGCAATCATCTCTAGCTGTACATCTCTGTGCCAGTTTTGTTTTTTTAAAGAAATAATTCATTACATAAATGCCCTGCTTTTTACACTATTTAATCTAGTTTTTCAGCAATTGAAATTTAAGGTCTTTACCTCTCTATATGTAGATAGATAGCACTTTTCAGTATTTGTGGCAGGGTCTGCCATTACCGCCCCGGATTCAACTTGCCTACTTTCCAATGAGGGATTTACAGGAAATCATGGTTAGTGGTGTAATTAGGTAATGCTAATGCAACCCCAACCTTTTCTACTGCTGATACTTCACAAGAAAAGCACTTAACTGGCAAAAACACATGGTGGCTTTTATTGTGAAGCAGTCACAGAAATTGGTACTGAACACAATTGAGGAGCAAGAGAGGTACACTAATTGTTCTTATAATGTATTTCTGAAAAGTAGCTGCTAAACAAATGTCTGCAGTGGTATTCAACCACACTTACTATTAAGTGTCAACTACAACTGAAATCTTAAGGAACACAACTTCAAGCCGGGCACTCGCACAAAAAACGTGGAGCAAGATCACAAAGGCAAGGGTCATGAAATTGCAACCTTCTCCTCTTACCCTCCAGGGAGGCTAGTGTGTCCCCTCAGATCCTCTTACATCAGTCCATCACTTTAAGCTCATTCCTGAGTGATCTTGCAATGAAGTGCAGTAATGTTCTGTTTTGGCATATCAACTTGGCCTTGGCCTTTGCACTTCTTCAGTTAACGCTTTCTTCTGTTTCCTAGAACACCTTTCAACGACCCAGAAAAAAGGAGCATGAACTTGTTGTTTTGAATCTTCCATAGATTTATGGGCAAAGAAATGTAGCTAGCTGGTCTACTGCAGTTTGTGAACCTTTTTTTGTTTGTGAGTGTGTATTTCACCACTGGTGATTCAAACTCTTCAGGCTACATTGAATCCAAATCTAATAGTGCCTAGTTAGAAAGTGATTTTTTTTTTCTTTAACTACATGCAGCACCAGCAGTTTTTTGGGTGGGAGGCGCTGCAGGGAGGATTCGCTGAAGCCGGCTCTGCGTTGTCTGTGTTAGTGTGATCTGGTCCCAGCTGAACACTAATGAATAGCA